AAGGGACATGCTTGAGCCAGGTCCGCATGCCAAGCCTCCCTTGAGTATCGGTAGCGYAGTGCCGGTCCAACACTGTCCCCAATGAGCAAGTGTGCACCCATGAGGAACCCTGGTAGCCATGCTAGCCGTTAACCAGGGCCGCCCCGCAAGGGGATGAAAGTCTAGGAGTGCCAAGGTTAGGCACCCAAGGAGGTCGACCTCCTCTCCTCAAAGAGTATGTTAAGCTTTTGGTAGTCTACTTGAAGATGACATCAGTTCTCCCAAAAATCTTACAGGCAAAAATGACGGGCATGTCCTTAATGTAAGCCGTAGGCAAAGCTAAGCCTGTGCTGAACCGTCACATACAGGCGTGTTCAATTGTATGAAGTTCAGCCGGTATCGGCTTCAGTCGGAGCAAAGTCAGTGTTCGAACAGCCTTTATAGTCTTACATCGGTAGTATCTCTTATTTTATGGGGAGATATTTATTACAATTGCAAGGCTACGATGGCTGTTGGAATGGACTATAATTTTGTCTCCAGCTCAGCTGCCAGTCCCCATTTTCTTTCTTTCTTTTTTTTCCACATTTAAGAAAAATCAGATAGAACAAGAATAAGTGAAGAATTCGTACCCAGTTCCAGCGAAGAACGCAAGAGGAATCATCATCTCCCACCCGTTGATTGTCATACTGAAACCAGGAAATAAATACGCCACAGAATGATTTCACAACTTGGTAAAACATACATGAGATAGAAATTAAACGTTCAATATATATATATATATATACAATTCCAAGAACCGGAACAAATAAATACCAGATAGACAAGGCATCGACCGCAATCTTGGCATCTTTCAGGTTCCCAGTCATCAATACCAGAACTCTGTAGTACCAATTCTCCAAGCTGTACAACATAACATGTAAAAGAAAAAAATAGTGTAAAATTTCTTCATATATAGTTGGGAGTTGGGACACCGGACACCCCTCGGTGAGATCGACAGGGAAAGGAAAGATGAAAGATGCAATGATAAGCCATATTATACCAGAGCATGACCCCTGATGCTATTGAGAGTTTTAGAAACTCCCAGAGGCCAGAGAAGGCTGGAATGGAGAATCCAGTCCAAGACAGAGGGCAACCACCGCAAACCGTATAACCAAACAGACAAGAACCAAAACCCACCACGAGAAGTTCAGAGTTATTGCAGTTCCCACCATACCAAACTTAAGCCCGTAAACAAATAACCAGCTCACGAAGACGTGAACCACCAGAGCTGCCAACGACACCCAGGCGATCACGGCTGTCTTAAGCTGGCTCTGCAAGAACCTCTGCAATGGAAACTGAAAAGCGAAGCTGAAGTGAAGTGGGATTAACCAAATGGACACCAACCCCGCTTGCTCCGCCACATCTGTGGGTTGCCCCAATAACTTTAGAATAGGCGTGGCGAATATGTACATGGGCAGGAGCAGAACCGCACAGAGGACCATAACTATCCATGAGCGTTGCATATAGATCCCTAACATGTGGTACCTCTTCGCTCCGAATGCCTGCCCACACAACGTCTCTAACGCGCTCGCCATCCCCAACTGATATAACACACAGAAAGATTCATTCAAGATCACTAAAGCCGGCCCACAGGCTTGCAGTTTTAACGTCTCCTTTTTCAATCTGATTTACAGTGAGAGATAGAAATTAAGAGAGAGAGATACCAAGAGACCAAAGGCAAAACCAGCGATAACAGTGTTAGCGATGGAGATGGAAGCGAGCTCCAGATCACCCAGGTGGCCTGCAAAAGCTTGGGTAATGACATTCATGGAGAAGGACGCGACGCGGCTAAGTATGGCAGGGCCGACGATGTGCCAAAGCTTCTTTGATTCGATCCAGACCCTCCTTACCAACTTTTGATCATGATGCTCATCTGGCTCTGGTACTCGGACGGTCGGTGACGATCCATCTAACAATGGAACCTTCTCCTCTCCTCCTCTGCGGTCGCTCTGCATCCTTGTGAGTCTCGCGTCTAAACTTCAGAAAAGTGAAAATAAAAAGAGTTTAAAAGAATAGCTCTCGGCGACCCACGTAGTTCGGGCCTGAGAGGGAGAATTACAATTCTTGACAAATGGCAAATGACAAATGACACATATAAAAAGACCTATAGAAGAAGGGGAAGTCAAAGTTGGTTGGAATTGAGATTGAAAATGATCAAATACGAGAAGTTCTATTTGTTATTTAAAATTGAAAATCTCTAGAAACGAATCCCAAAGGAGCCCGGATCTCCTGCACTCAAAATGGTGTGTGGGCAGCGGTGCTCTTCGAATCGGTAATGAACACGTTTGGTGTTTATATGTGCATCCTGTTCTCATGTGTGAATGAGTATCAAACGGTAAAACTTTCGTTAATTTACAATATTTTTATTTTTAAAACTCAAAAAAATTAAAAAGAAATAATAAACAGAGAGAACCAAGTCTTTTAAGAATTCCTAACTTCGGACTAATGCTATCTACTATTAACGACTTGGGAAGACCTTTTTCCAAGCCTAAGTTCGGTGTGGAAAATCTACTTGTTTAGTTCGTTGAATCTTTACAGCGGAACTCTTGGAAATATGAAATATAAACGGGATTCAATTTTCTTTAAATCTTCAAAAGCTACAATAACGAGTCACATGCCTTCTTCTTCACCGATCCAAAAACGACAAGAATAGAGTTGCTGCAACTGTAATCAAGGAAGCAAATGGCCAAACTCTCTTTCTATTAGTAGTATAAGAATATGAATGAAGAAAATAATGCAAAAAAAAAAGTTGGATTGTAAGATTTAAAACATGAATTTCAGACATTTCAGAATGTGCCCTGCAACTCGATCATCGTCAGGAATTTAACCACTGAGATGTTAGGTCCTCTGACATCATACCATGATAATAAGGTATTGATAATCCTGTAAAGGATTTGGTTCTGATTTTTAGGTCGAACCGTTCGAAGCGTTCAACGGTTTGGCCATTTTTATTTTTTTAGGAACGGGCCGTCCGTATAGTTTAAATGATCAGACCCGTGCGATGGACAGGAACCGAACCCTGACTGGTTTATTGTTCAAATCGGTTTTAAAATTTTGGGTTAAACAATCAAAAAATTATTAATTTAAAAATTCACTAAAGTTTCAATAAAAATAAATATTAAAAATGTGTTTTAATTCCACTTAAAAATCAAACTTAATAAACGCTAATAAAAATAAGAAAATTTAAATATAAAAATATTAATTGATAATTTTAATAATATTATTAGATAACTTATGAGATGAGACCATTATTGTGCATAATGAATGTTATTATTACATTTAAAAAGGCATTATTATTACATTTCCAAGGCCTCTTATTTTAATGCATGTTATTATTACATTTAAAAAATACATTTAAAAGAGAGAAAGAGAGAGAGAGAGAGTAGTAATAATATAAATAGGTTGAGGTTAAACCATGATTTTCAAAACAGGACCAAACCGGACGGTCGGACCAGAAAAATAGGGAAGAACGGTTCCCGATTTACCCCATAATTGTTATTTCCCCAAAAACCGTTGATTTGGTCAGCAAACCGCTGATCCTGGCGGTCGAACCATTTGAATTGTTCAACGGTTTGGCCAGTTTTTTATTTTTTTGTAAAACGGGTCGTCCGTTTAGTTTGAATGGTCAAACCCGTGCGATGAAAGGGAACTAGAACCTGACCAGTTCATTGTCCGGGTTGGTTTTAAAAACCTTAGGTTAAACAATCAAAAAATTATTAACTGAAAAATCCAATAAACTTTCACTAAAAATAAATATTAACAAAACTTAGTAATATTATAAATGTGTTTCAATTCCACTTAAAAATCAAACTTAATAAACACTAATAAAAATAAGAAATTTAAATATAAAAATATTAATCGATAGTTTTAATAATATTATTAGATAACTTATGAGATAAGAACATTATTGTGCATATGAATGTTATTATTATATTTAAAAATGCATTATTATTATATTTAAAAAAGACATTTAAGAGAGAAAGACCTTTGGGTTTTCCAAGGCCTCTTATTTTAATGTATGTTATTATTATATTTAAGATAGAGAGAGAGAGAGAGAACGAATTGTTCAACGGTTTGGCCGGTTTTTATTTTTTAAATCTTTTATTTTTTGTCGGAATGGGCCATCCGTTCGGTTCGAACGGTTAGACCCGTGTGATGCAAGGGAACCGGACCCCTGGCTGGTTCATTGTTTGGGTCGGTTTTAAAAACCTTGGGTTAAACGATCAAAAAATTATTAATTTAAAAATCCACTAAACTTTCGCTAAAAATAAATATTAACAAAACTTAGTAAATATTAAAAAGGTGTTTCAATTCCACTTAATAAACGCTAATAAAAATAAGAAATTTAGATATAAAAATATTAATTGATAGTTTTAATAATATTATTAGATAACTTATGAGATGAGACCATTATTGTGCATAACGAACTCATTAAAAATGATAAAAATTAATGAAATTTTAAAATGTAGAACCTGTTTTATTAATATTATTTTATGCAAAAATTACTCATATGCGAAAATTACTGAATAATAATGAAAAATACCAATAATTTATTAAAAATCCGAAAAGTTATCAAAAATCTAAACATAATTAAAATACTAAAATAATTAAAAAATATTGAAAAATTAACAATACTTTATATTAATAAGGGTATTTACTGAAAATAATTAAAGTACAATTAATAGTATTTTATTATTAAAAAATACCCAAGTCAGAAATTATTGAAAAATATTGAAAATTAGATGTATTTTTTATTTACCATGGTATTTATTTAGTTATTTAATTTATTTTTACTGAAAGAAAATGCAAATTAATTTTGTAGTGACTAATATGCAAAAGTAAATGCTGAAAATAGTGAAAATTATTGAAAAATACTCATATGCAAAAATTACTGAATAATAATGAAAAAACACCAAACATTAATTAAAAATCGGAAAATTCTAAAAAACCTAAAGCTTAATTAAAATACTTAAAATTATTAAAATTTTAAATTAATTATATTTTATTGCAAAAAATACTGAATAATAATGTATTTTAATTGTTAACAGTAATACATTTAACAATAATTATTTTTAAATAGTAAAAAATTACATTGACTTACCAAAAAGTTATATTTACTTACTTGAAAATTACATTTAATTAGTTTTAGCCAAGAAATTAGCAATATTTCTAAAAATATGATAACTTCTCAGAAATTACTATATTTTAAATAAATACAGTAATTTAATAATTACAATATTTTAAGAGCTAACAATATTTTAATAATTAATAATAAAAAGTAACAAATCGTTTATAACTTAACCTAACCCTATTAGATCTATAAATTTGCATGCTCAAGCAACTATTTTCTTTTGTCTAAAAATAACTTAGCCTAACCCATTTATATCTAAAAATAATTAACAATAATAACTTAACCTTACCCAATTACATTTAATTACCAAAAAGTTATATTTAATTACCGGAAAATTACATTTAATTAGTTTTAGCCAAGAAATTAAAAATATTTCTAAAAATATGATAATTTCCATAAATTACTGTATTTTAAATAAATACTATAATTTAATAATTAATAATAAAAAGTAACAAATAGTTTATAACTTAACCTAACCCGATAAGATCTATAAATTTGCAGGTTCAAGCAACTATTTTCTTTTGATTTAGGTCTAGTTGAGATATGCACCATGCCCACACATTATCAAGGATAAGCAGATTCGAAGTCTAATTGGGTATCAAACTTTTGGAGTCCAATGATGGCTTTAGCGGATAGGGCCCAAGCTAAACAACCTTTAATAAGATCAACTTGGAAGTTATATGCATATATGGTAAATATTAGTATATAACATTTAAATAACAAATTTTATATTAATATATATAGAAGTGTTATATATTTTTTATAATAGACTAGAATTATTAAAAATTTTAATTTATAAAAAAAGCATAGTTTTATAATTAACATGGGCCTCTTTATCAACAAAAAATGTGTAAGCCCGAGCTTGAGCCCGGCCTGACCATCGGGCCTAGATCTTGAGCCTGAGCCCATCCCTTATATAAAGCCTGAAGCCTGATTTGTACACAAAATGTCTTATTTTTAGTATACATTTATAAACTAATATTATGTTAATTTAGTAATAATTTAATAAATTAATAAACTGATTTATATTTCCTAGTAGTAAATTGATATTTATTATAATTTAAGATGCATATATATATATATATATATATATATATATATATATAATATAACACAAGTAATATTATGTTAATTTAGTAATAATTTAATAAATTAATAAACTGATTTATATTTCCTAGTAGTAAATTGATATTTATTATAATTTAAGATGCATATATATATATATATATATATATATATATATATATATATTATAACACAAGTACTTTTTTATATATGTAATAGTATGGGGCTGGGCTTATTTGAGAAAGCTCGAAGTCGAGCCCACAGGGCCTGAAATTTTGTCAAAGCCTGAAAAATAATGGGTCAGGCCAGGTCGGGCCGTCGGGCTACCCAACCCATGAATAGGTCTAATTGTATATATAAAAAATCATATGAAAAAAAAGATTAAACATCTTTCTCAACTTTTTTTAAAAATGGACCTCTCATAGCTTGGCCCAGTCTGTGGCTTGGCCAGGCCCAAGGCCATAGACCAGCCCGACCCACGGCACGACACCAGCCCGTGTATGCTTAGATCGTGGACCGTGCCGAATTGAGCCCCCAAATTATCCTAGGGTAGGGTGGCACGGCCCAAGACGCCCCATGGGCTCGTACGACACCATATGGGTCGGATGCGGGTCGTGTTGTGCCGACTTAGCATGACCAAATTTACACCTCTACATGAACCCACCCAATTCAGGGGATAGGGTGGGGAAATTCGATAATTCCCCATCATTGATGAGGAATTGGGTGCCTTGCACCAAAACTTGGTCAACATTGAGGAGT